GGTAAATGAGCTAATGGGGTCACGCATGTCACGCAGAAAATACTCAAACTGAAATGTTGGGACATGTTGTTTTTTTTTCAGCCCACTGACCCACTTTTCAATTGTTCTCAGCACCAGACAATAGAGACAAATGGTTTCATAACTAGTGCACAATACCTGCGTGTTATTCAACATTATGGTTGCGCATAATTGTTTTTTTTTGTGTGTGAAGGGTTTGTTTAGATGTAGTTTTTGTTTTAGAGTGCCATGTCTTTATGTAACCCTCTGCTGCCCCCTTTAATTTTGAAAAAGTCGACAATTTCTCGCACACACTCAAGTTGCCCTCTCATTGGCTCCAATTGGGCATCAGACCCCATGGCTGTGATGACATGAGTAGTTTCACTGATCCAGGGCTCAACCAAAGAAGACACACATGAAGCTCGTCCTTACAGTAGAATGAGAGAGTGAGTAGCAGTCTGTGATAGATTAAACTCACACCCCCAACTACTGTAGAGCTTAACTGCATAAAGACAATGTTGTCTTCTGTGATTAGCCTGAGCTGTTGTCTCACAGATGACTTTAAGGTACCAGTACCATTATTTCTTTCAAAGAAATGTTCAAGGTTAAATACAAGTAAATCTCTGACATGCTGTTAGTTACCACCAGTGTTGAGGAAAGTTACTTTTAAAAGTAATGCATTACAATATTGCCTTACTCCCTAAAAAGTAAATAATTACGTTACTTACGTTACTTTTGCGTTACATTTTCTCATCTGAGCTGAGCTTGCTTGTTTGTTTTTGATATAAAAAGTTCTATTTTTGGCGAATGTATAAGTCGTTTCATGCTATAAGTGAAATGAATATTTAAAGTGAAGTGACATGACATGTGGCCAAGTATGGTGACCCATACTCGGAATTAGTGCTCTGCATTTACCCATCCAAAGTGCACACACACAGCAGTAAACACACACAAACCGTGAACACACACCCGGAGCAGTGGGCAGCCATTTATGCTGCGGCACCCGGGGAGCAGTTGGGGGTTTGGTGCCTTGCTCAAGGGCACCTCAGTCGTGGTATTGAAGGTGGGAGAGAGTGCTGTACATTCACTCCCACCCACCTACAATCCCTGCCGGTACGAGACTCAAACCCACAACCTTTTGGGTTATGAGTCCGACTCTCTAACCATTAGGCCACGACTTCCCAAAATGTAAATTCCCTTTAAAATGTAAATTCGCGCTCAAACAAACCTTTTAGCTGTGCTGCCCTTCTAGATTGCATGAAGAATAGGACGCAGGAGAAGTTCAACACTCTTACTTCAGCAATGAAACACAAATGTTTACCTAAAGTTATTTTTACTTATGGTTACTAAAATGGGATTAAATGCATAAAGGATATTTGTGTTATTTAACATATTTAATTATTGCAGGATTTGCGTCATATTCTGAGTTTGCATTTCACAATTTTCATTCATTTTGAGGAATACTGAATCTGTTTTTGTGCAAGTGAGATGAGTAAATGCACGTTCACATTTAGTCTAGAACTACAGTAAGCATCATGTTTACACAGCGCACACAACGCTTCTGCACTTACTCCTGATTTCTCTCAACATGGGGACAGGAGAGCTGTCAGACAATAAATGGGAAAACACAGTAACTGGCTTTACTTATTTGAAAAAGTAACTCAGATATTTTCTTGTAAATTAGAAAGTAATGTTACTTTACTAGTTACTTGAAAAAGTAATCTGATTACATAACTTGTGATACTTCTGTCTGATATTTGAATGAGACTATTAAAAATATACTCTTTTTCACAAATATAGATGTGAAACTTAAATGTTATACTTTTTAACACTACACTTTTGTGATAAAATTTTGTCTGCAGTTTTAATCCAATATTTTGACATGTAAATCTGGTAACTTCTGCACTTAAATAGGCAGTGAAACCAGAATGGGATGTAAGAATCCTGTTTAGGGGCCGTTTCAAGCTAATTTTACCCTGATTTTCACATTATTATAACAGTTGTCTTACTACTAAAAGGATGTGTTTAGACAACTTAGACAACTCAAATGCACTTCTTTTTTATATATATTATTGCTTTAACAAAAATTCACATTTCACACAAAAATTCACCTAATCCATTGCCTCATAGGCTTCCACTTTACTGTAAGTGCATTACTTTAGACATGATTTTTGTTTGTCTTTTTAAATTAATTAATTAATTAATTAATGCAGAATGAACCCAGAACATAAAATGAAGTTGTCCGTAATCGTTAGTCTTTCTGGTCACACTATCTTTTTGTAACCAAACACTGTAGAATCTGATCTGAAAGTATGCTCACATGCTCGTTCCTGAACTTTTCCTTGAATCCAGCTTTTGCCTTTAGTGCTGTGAGCAGCATCTTGCTCGTGGAGGAGAGTGTCGGAGCACCACAAAGTGGACAAGACACACTGAAGGGAGCGGAGGGCAGATTAATCAGGCAACATCAAAGAGAGCAGCAGGCCAAAGGGAGGGAATGGGGCAAAATATGAATGGAGACCAGCCGCCTGTTTGTTGTTGTTTTTTGTTTTTTTTCCCATGCCATCCCTCAGTGTTTCAGTTGGCAGTAGGATGGCAAAACCATTGTGCAGGGGCCACATAGAATGCCTGGAACAAACTGTCGGCTCCTGTTTTTATTCTGCATGCCAAAAAAGGAGGAGAATGCAAGATAAGGAGACTCTTGCTCTTGAAGTCTGTCCTTTGATCGGTTAACTTTTTTCTCTTTTTTTTATCAATATTTTAAAACATTATTCACCAGAATAACCCTTAAATATTGCTCAGAATGCGATGACTTTTAGATGTCGGCTTGTTTCTGTCTTCTGACAAGCACCCAAACTTTCTGTCTCATGTGCCGCTGTATTTCAAAGGAGGTCTTTCTCTCTGCTCCGCGTGCCCTCACTGTATTCGTTTGCTCAGTTGGCTCAAAGATAACTCCAATTTGGGTCTCTCATCCTGACTGCAGACTCAGCACACGTACATTACACAGTGTTCCTGTCTTGGCCTTTAGTTGGACTCGCTAATCTCTGCACACTTTGTCACAAAGCCTGTCATGAGTCCACTTCAAAGAGACGCTACGAACCTGATACCATTTGACAGCCTAAAATGATCGTTCATTAGCTCTGATGAACTGAAGAGCGTCTCTGGCTGTGCATTCGCTCCTTTATGTTTCACTTTGCCCTGATTTCCACGTCCCGCCTTATTTGAGGGAAGAACAGTCATTCGATTGTCATGTGTCATTATTTCATGAATCAGGCCACTAAGCCTCACTTTGCTCATCTCGCACTTGTTAGTGTACATAGAAAAAGTCTTAGATCTTTGAGTTCAGCTCATGACAAATGGGGGCAAAAACAAAAGTGTTGAGTTTATAATTTTGTTCAGTGTAGTAATGTCATTGCATTAAATATCAAACCAAGTGGTGTTTATTTTAAAGATGGCACAAACATTTATGTATTTAGCAGACACTTTTATCCAAAGCGATAAATCCCCCCCCCAACAACTGTTTCTCTCTCTCTCTCTCTCTCTCTCTATGAAGAGCCAGGATTTCCACTTGAAAAACCTGGATAAGTGAGATAGTAATAAAAAAAAGTGTGATTTCTAGACCTGGAGAAGTCATGTAAATGAATAAAATCTTTATAATATTTTTTATAATGGATATACATTTGTCTAGCTATTAAAATATTTTATCAAGTAGAAATTGTGAGTAAAAAAATTAAATCCTTACCCAGTAAATCATGTAAAACTGGAAAAGTCATGGGACGTGTGAATATTGTTGGGGGGCCTAGGAGTCAAAAAGGTTGCGAACCACTGGCAAAAGCTATTGTCTGATGATTGTTTACATTTCTAATTTAAAAAATGTAAGCTATCCATCTATTAATTATTATGAGGGAATAGTTTATTGTACTGATTAACAAATAATATGCTTATTTTTTATTTATTGTTTTGCATTTATTATGCAGCCCAATCAAATAGATGTCAAGTAATCGCTTTCATCCAAATATAAAGTTGTCAATCATTTCCCATGAAAACAACAAGAGCTCTTAGACTTACATTTACATGATTTAGTCATGATTTAGTCATAGTGTTATGAACGCAGAGCTCAGCATTTGATTGATTTGATTTAGTCTCTCAACTATTGCGAAAGGACCAATTTGATTTTAACATTGAACTTCAATTTGCTTTTTTAAATGTCACTGAAAAAGTTTTTGGAAAAAGATTTGGAAAGCAACTTCTGTGACTGTCCAACAAATTAGGGCACATAACACAAACTTTTCTACGAACCCTCGGCCAGTAACGAGTAAACAAACGATGAGCTGTTGTTTTTTAATGTTGTATGTTTTTATGCAATGAGGCTATGCTGAGCTGAGAAAGATGCAATGATCTGAACTGACAATATTTTAATGGAGCACATAAAAGCGTGAAAGTGATCAAGGAGGTCGGCGTGCCTGTGATCGCCACATTCGCTCGCTTTGAACTCTCAGGGAGGAGCACAATGCTCTCATTCAGAGATTGGCTGAATGACAGATGCTCCCTCTCTCTTTCTCTCTTGCCCCCTCCTCTCTGTCTCCCTCTAACGTTAATGAATTCAAACAACCCGCCCCCTACCCATCCAGCTCTCTTTCTCTTTCCCTCTTTTTCTCTCACCACAGAACATTTCCAGCCTTGGCAAGTTCCTCGTGATTTGCTCTCATCGTCTTGATGAATTCAACTGGGAGTGCATTGGCCCTGATGCCCACCCCTTCAGAGAGAAGTCCAGTGCTCTTGCATATGTCTGCAGGGCTGCTGCATGCTTTTCCATTGTTCCATCAGCTTCTGTCACTAACACATCCTCTGAGAGGGAGTGTGGGAGAAAGCTAAGCCAGCCAGGAGGTGGGAGACACTTCTGCCTTGATGCAAAAGAAGCTGCGTTGTGTCCGTGTGCCTGTGTTTTTGAAAAGTGGAAATTCTTGAAGCTGTTAGAAAATTAGTTTTTCTACTGGAAGACTCACCTGTGGACAGGTGAAGTGGAATCATGGGTGTGATGTCACTGCTGCTGTTGATGGTGATTGGCTGGTGTGGTGGGGCGCCACCGTTGAGAGAGGTGTACAGAATGCCACAGAGCACACTTAAAGGTAGGCCAGGTATTCGGACGTTTTGGCTGCTTCTACATTAAAGGTACAAAACTGTCACTGGGGTGGTACCCTTTCAAAAACTACTAACATGTACCATTTAGGGGTAAACAGGGTACAAAGTGTACCTTTTAGCTTTTGTACCTTAGTGACCTCCCTATTAACAGCTACCTTTTTTCTGAGAGTGTAGATGCAGAAGATGCAAACTCACTGTGATGTCCAAAATTAACCTAATTGTTAAGCTTAGCTGTTTTCTTTTCAATAAACTTGTTGCAAAAGAGTTGCAAAAGTAGAACTTCACAAAAAAAAAAAAATCGTACTTGCAACCAAAATATGAACAGCCTTTCCAATAATGGTGAACATTGATGTCAGAGCTCCAACAGCTTGCTTTAACTCTTAATAATCTGACAATATTATTATTTCCCACAAACTGTTTCTCTAAGAGTAAACTTTTTGACTGTTACTAAATAAGCGTGTTATATTTCGAAAAACATTTACATTTATACATCATACAGATTCTTCCATCTAAAGCAGAGTCATGCTTCTTCACTGTACTAGACTGTACTTTCTGGTCAACTTGAAACTTTATATTCCAACATTAACAATATTTCTGTCTGTTTATAATAATTTGTATGTTTTGTAGCATTCTTTAGTGCTGTTTTTTATTTTTTTTAAATAAAAGCATCTGCTAAATAAATGTAAATATGATTTGCATATCAAATGATTTGCATAATGTTTTTATATAGTTTTAAAGTGATCTCTTTTCTTTGAGATATAAGATCTCAGATCTGTGTAAATATTAAGTATTTTCAATATAGACTCCATATGTTTTTCAATAAAACATTATTTTTGTTGGTAAGAATCAGTCCTCGACTCTGTGTGCCATCACAGTGAGACTGTGTTCAGGAGTTTAGCGTAGTCACTCACCACAGAGGCCATAGTTCAGGCCGTTAATTAAGATCTCAATCAGCTTTGAAGTCTCTCTCGCTCTCTGGGAGATAGAGAAGAGTGCACGGCTGAATGTGGATCGGTGTGTTTGAACTTTGTGTTTGGCGTCTTTAGCACTGCTCTGAGTTTGCTCACTTGTCCTCATGGAAAAACCATGACTAATAAAATACTGCATTCATATTTTTTTATATATAAATGTAGTATTATCACAGCCAGTCATGGATTTTGTTTTGCTGAAGAAATATATTCAGGCTGTTTGTTTTCTGTGCAATTGTTGGTTTTCTCCCCACCTAACAACAGGGAACATTCTCAGAGCTTTGGCTAACGTTTCTGCAAGGTTCTCTCCAGTAATACTAATAAAAAAGTTATCTGGTCTTTAATAATGTTCTCAGAATGTTATTTAACGACAAAAACTTTGTACATATTTCATGGAATTCATGAATTGTTCAGAGAACATTCAAAAGTAACATTACCATAATGTTTGCAAAATGATAAAATGGAATGTTCCCTTAATGTTTTCTTAGCGTTCGCATTTCAAGAAGAATGCTTTTAAAACATTTTTAAAAACTGGGCATTTTGAATGTTCAGAGAACATTCAGAAGCTTAATGGTAACATTAGCAAACATTCTTAGAACATATTTTTGTTAGCTGGGTCTCTATCTTGTAATTTTTGTATTTGTATGCATATCTGACCATTTTTATTGTTGAAACAAAAATATTACATTTGTATGACAAACCTATGTCTTCTCTAATTCACATAAACACCAAGTCAACACAATTTTCTGCTCCACTGAGGTTAAACGTCTCATATTTCTTCTTTATACCTACTTTTAATGTTTTCTTTAGATTTGCTTTGTGTTGGTTGTTTTGAGGCATCTATTCACTTTTGCTTACATCTCTTTCTGCTTCTCTCTGCAGCTCTGTCTGATAGAGGAACAGTAGTGATGGAGGCCGCTCTGTCCCGCGCTCTGTCTGCCGTAGATGCTGCCGTATCGGAGCGCAACAAGGCCGAGGCAGGCTGCAGAGGGTGTGTGCCCTGTCTGTTTCAGGACTGTGGACAGCAAAAAGGCGCTTGTGGTAAGCTTGAATGAACAAATGCTTTATAACTAGGACTCTGACTTTAAACACGGATGCTGATGGTTGTGGTAATTCCGTAGCTTCTCCAGAGGACACACAGTCAGACCCGAGTTGTCAGGTCATCTCTGGCGCTCAGGAGGAAGCTGATGAAGGAGAGAGGAGTTGGTTGCTGAGTCAGGCCTGTGGCTTCTACAAACGCCGTTGCACACCTGCACAGGTGAACAAAGACCTGTGCGTCAGAGTCATGGGAGAGAGCTGCAGCGCTCGTGTCCTGCAGTGCAGTCTGCTCAACACCATGCAGAACCTGGAGCCGGCCACACAGACCACAGCACAGGGTAAAACAAAATAACGTAACTCAGAACTTTCATATAAACATAATCTTACATAATCTTCATAATTAAAATAAAAAAATGTAATCGAAAATAAACCTTGACTATGATTGTCAATGGACTTCAGGGGAACTAATATATATAATAAAGGTATTAGGTCCCTTTTAAAGTAATTTCAGCTTTGAAATTGATTACTTTACTGCAAGAGTTCTATTTATTGATGTAACTTCCCTTATGTAGCTGTGTGTGGCCAGCGGTTCTCTGTCTCGCAAAACCTGACACAGCCTCGCTCTCGTATCATGGGGGGATCTCCTGCCCCTCTGGGCAGCTGGCCATGGCTGGTGAACATTCGGCTGGACGGGGCTCTGATGTGTGGGGGCGTGCTGGTTGATAACTCTTGGGTCCTCACTGCCGCCCACTGCTTTGCTGGGTAAAAGCACAAATACATATCTACATAATTACATTTAATGTTACATGGGATACCTTGTTGCCTTTTCACTTGAAAATCTTGCTATTTGTATTGGTACTGAGAACATGAGATTATTTTGCTCAGATGGATTTTTGAATGAGCAACATTTGAAGCTGTTGTAAAATACCAGAATAACACACACTTGTGACAGTGATTAAATGTGCCATAACATTAAAAAATAATGAACCACGGCACTGTCTTTGATCATATTGCTGTTCTCACCATTTTCTGAAAAGGATTATATATTGTGCTGTGTCTTCTTGCTTTATTTGTGAATGTACCCAAATGTTTTGTGAACGTCTCAAATTGATCTCCCCCAAGTAGGAGCCGCAGTGAGAGTTACTGGACCGCAGTAGTGGGAGAGTTTGACCGCACAAAAACTGACCCTGATGAGCAGATCATGAAAGTCAATCGCATCATCACTCATCCGAAGGTAAACACATCAAAAACGCAACCAGTCCAATATTCCACTTATTAATTTACCATATATATATATATATATATATATACATACACACACACACACACACACACACACACACACACACATATATATTTATATATTTTTTGTTTAGAATATATATATATATATATATATATATATATATATAATTTTTTATATATGTCCCTCTTGTATCCAATTCTTTTCTCTTGGTGTAGTTTAACCCAAAGACGTTTAATAACGACATTGCTCTGGTGGAGCTGAGTTCTCCAGTAATTCTGTCTGAACGGGTCACACCTGTCTGCTTGCCCTCTGACCTCGATCCACCGGCTGGTACTCCCTGTTTGGTGGCCGGCTGGGGCTCTCTGTATGAGGGTAAAAGAATCTGCATAACTCATATTTTAGAAAAAGAGCCCAATAATATCACACAATATTTGCTTCAAATGCTGTGATGTGTTTGCTTATTGATGTTTGTCTTGATTCTCTGTATGTGTGTAGACGGACCCTCGGCAGATGTGGTGATGGAGGCGAAAGTGCCACTGCTGTCTCAGACCACCTGTCTCAGTGCACTGGGGAAGGAGCTGCTCACGAACACCATGTTCTGCGCTGGGTACCTGTCTGGAGGCACCGACTCATGCCAGGTATCTCCACATTATCATACTAGCTTGCTTTATAAACGCTACACCTGCTTTACAATCATCTGACTAGAATCTGTGTCCTTGCATGTGTACAGGGTGATTCCGGAGGGCCGTTGATCTTCCAGGACCGTTTATCGGGACGGTTTCAGCTCTTTGGCATCACCTCTTGGGGGGATGGCTGTGGGGAGAGGGGAAAGCCTGGTGTTTACACACGGGTCACCGCCTTCTCTGATTGGGTCATTACAGAGATACAGAGTGAGTTGCTCAACAATGTTGCACACACTACTGAAACAAAGAATATCTCCACCACCGTGAGTTTAAACCCTCCCACACTTTCTGCTTGATGAAAAGCCACAAATACATTCCATTCTTCAAATTCCAGAGTCCTTTGGGAGTCGGGAGCCCACATGTCCTGAGCTGCTTAAGACAACTGAGCTGTTTGAAGAACAGCAGATGTCAGAATTCACCACACTCTGCCACTTCTACACACTATCCTGCTCTTCGACACTCGACCCCTCCACCTGCCAGCGTCTCGCTCAGGACAAATGCCAAAGCCAGTTTAAGAAGTGCCGTAAGTTATCCAGAAAGTTGAAATAAAAAAATCGAATTACATATTTAAACAGAATTAACCTAATGTTAAGTGCTAGTTTGGATGTGCATACTCATTTTTTATTATTACAATTTTTTCCAGATTTTAGAATAATAGTAAAGTCATCAACCTATGAAATAACACCAATGGAAATATGTGAATTATTTAGTCATCTTGACAAGCTCTGCACCTTAACAAAATGCATTCTGGGATGCTTTTTATACTGCATTGAAGGAGTTCACATGTATGTTGGACACTTGTAGGCTCGCTCAGTTTTATGAAATTGAAATCATGTAATGAATTTAAACTAGTTTTTAAAGAAATGTGTATGTAGGCACAATTTATTCTACACAACCTATTTCAAGCATTTTTTTCATCCTAAATAAAAGGCTTAAATTACATTTTAAGATCAT